ACTTCCACAAGGACTCTGCACAATTATATCTTCTGACAACTCAAAGCAGCTTGCCTCTGTCAGTGCCAAGGACTTGCCTCCCACAATGATGCTTCCCTGTTGCCACTGAGTCATAAGTAATCCATGTATGTGTAAGTAGGAAATGTGGGGGAGTTTAAGGCCCAGAAGTAAACATCTGAACAACAAAAGACAAGAGCTGATGTGTAAATTCACCTCCTGTCTTCTACCAGATGGTTTCTCTGAGTGACTCACCAACGAAGTTCCAGAGAGAGCAATGGTCACTTACACTTGGTGGTAGATGCTGATGGGTGTGCAATATGTCAACTAGTGCTGTTTTTTCTTCCCCTGATACACTCCCTTTCTTCTCACCTTGCTTCTCTGAGACTGAATGTATTTCTCAATAAAGTATTATTATATAAACTTTGCTCACTTCATTTCTAGAAAATAAGTGCTAAAGCTAATATAGCTTTCACGATGTATAGCTTTCTTAATTCTTGAGAGTTACTGTCTGATCATTTTTTAAATCATATTGTGCACATCTTTTTTTTTTTTAATGTTTTGAGGTTACATTGGTTTACAGCATTGCTTATATGTCTTTTGTGTTTACTTTCCTACCTTGATTTTGAAAATTTGTAGACTCTAGATAATTTTTTAAATATGCTCACCATGAGTTTCTTCTTTATCCATTTTATAGACCTGGGAGATTTGGTTAAATTAAAGAGCATGTGTTTATTTAGTTTAAATTTTCAAGTTCAATTTAGTTGGTAAATACAAAGCATGATCTAAAGTGTTTCAAAAAGGGATAGTCTTCCTTTCCTAAAATGATCTGTTAGCTTGCTGCTTTTCTCTTTAAATCTCTATGCCTGGGCCCTCCCTCATGGTGCATGGTACAACCGGTTAAAGCACAGCACTATGAAGCTATCACAGCCACTGCAGCAAGAGTTAGATCCCTGGCCAGCGGGGTGACCCCACATGGCATGACAGACCTCTCCTGACCTGCCCGCTGCTCCCCTCAGCAGTGTGCTTCATCAATCTGCCTGTTCTGCTCCCGGCCCTGTCTCTGGTGAGTCCTCTCATTTCCCACGCCTCTGGCTTATACCTAGGTTGTGTATGCACAAAATAAATAAATCTTTAAAAATAAATAAATAAATCCTTGTGCCTGCTTTCTAAACAGATGAAACTTTTTTTTTTTAAGATTTATTTATTTATTCATACAGAACTAGGGTACAGGCTAGAGGTGCAAGGGCGGTGAGAGGATTCACCAGAGACAGATCGATGAAGCACACTGCTGAGGGGAGCAGTGGGCGGGTCAGGAGAGGTCTGCCGCGCCATGTGGATCAGCTCTGGGGCAGGCGGGGATCAAACTCATGTTGAAATGGCTTTAGCTTCTTAGTGCTGTGCTTTAACCCACTATGCCACCAGGGAGGGCCCCAGATTAAACTTTTAAGAAAACTGAACATCTGAATTTTTCTATAGTTAAGTGGTTCAATGATTGTACTGAGACAACTACAACCAATAAGCATTTTCTTTTCTTCCTGTATAGTTGAATTAAATTTTATTAGAGAAACTACTTGAAACTTCAGTTGCAAATCAGCTCCAAGTGATTTTTCTTTTTGCTATATCTGTTTTTGTGTATGTTTTTTATCCTAAAATCAGATTTCTAAAGTGGATGAGAGCTAATGGTGACCTAGAGTAAGCAGAGGGAATAGAGCCAAAGGAGACAAATAGGTTTGAAAGGCAGTCAGAAAATAATTGCACTTGTGGTCAATGAAATGTGATAAGTAAAAGAGGGAGACATCAAAAAAAGTGCTCAAATTTCTGTATCATATAACTATGAGAGAATGAATCCCTTAACTAAGAGTAAATGCCAGCATCAGTATGAAATATAACACCCAGCAGATTAAATCTCATAGAGTTGGTGCACAACAAATGTTTTTTGAATGAATTTTAAAAGCTAGTAAGTAAATCATACAGTTTTGATTAAAAAATAAGTAAGTAAGGGTTGATTGTGGATGGTTTTATTGATTTTTGATAGAGTTCCATGTGTACAAGACATAGAGTGGGAGGTTTTAAAAAACATAAGCAGAGCATGCCATGAAAACAAACAAAAATATATAAAACCCACAATGGCTGGTAATTTTAGGCTAAGTTTCAGAAGCAGTGTTGATTTAATTTGGTTCTTGAATAGGGAGAGCTCAGATATACAGATAGAATGGCTCTCTGATGTGGAGTGTTGACTGAGAGAGTTTTAATTAGTGAAGGAGACGAAGGTGAGTCCTCACTTTTGGGAAGGAGTCCTCCAAGATCTTTAAGCTTGAAGATATTTACAGCAGCAGTAGAATAGGACAGATTGGGATAGGAAGAGTGAAGAGTAACTGGAATGTTACTATGAGAGTAGGAGTAAACGATAAAACTAAGTGAGCATTTATGGCCACAGAAATAATAGGAAGAAAGGATGCAAAGAATAGTTAAATTAATATGCAAGTCCAGGCCCTAGCTTGGGGTGGCTGGAGTAAAGCTGGACTAAAGATGGACACTGGGTGGCAGAGTGTTTCTATGCGCATAAAGAAAAATAAAAGGAAGGAGAGCAATTTGGGGTGAAGATAATTGGATGTCCAGCTGGATGTCCAGTTGGAGAAATATTTTGGTACCTGGAAAAATAATACTGCAGTTTAGAAAGACAATCTGGAACCAGAAATATAAAATTTGGAGATACCAAATATAACATTTGGAGATACCAGGTATCAGTGATAAATGATGTGTATGATGTGTATGAGTAGAGAAGATAGCCAAGGAAACTAAGAATAGTTTCCAAAAAAAATGCTTCGGGGATATACTTTCTTGGGCTTAGTAAAATGAAGGAGTGAAATCTAAGAAGGCAGAGAAGCTGTTAGAGATAAGAATCATTTTAAAATGCACCTTTTAGAAGACAGAAAACAGAGCTTCAAGAGAAAAGAGTGGACAAATACAATCAGAGAACTGGAGGAGGAGGAGGAGAATGGAATGTACCAGAAGTGTCTGTTGACAGTGGATTGAAGCTTTGCCTGGGGTGACCAAGAGGTGTGAGGCAGGCCTGAGGAAGCTGGACGTTTCCATCTCAGTTCTGATGTGAGAATGAGTGATACTGATAGCAGTGCTGCTGGTGTTACTGCCTCTTGTTTTAATGGACTCAAAGAGTTCAGTCAGCAAGACAACAGGATAGCAGTAAACAGTGCTTGGAACCCTGAGCTCTGTAAGTCGATTCATGACCACTTCCTGCCTGGGAGCCCTGGGTCTCAACATTCCGTGAGAGGACACATTCAAAGTTAAAAGATTATTTTGTTTGGCAATATGTGTGCCAGAACTCTGTGTAGCACCTACTTAGATAACACTATATCATGAATTCAACAAGCCTTTTTGTGACTACTTGGAAATCTACTGTTATCATAAACTAAAACACCATAGAATTTTGTGTCTGTGTCTTGGCTCTCGATTTCTTTGCAACTTTTACCAAACCTGCTGATTATTTCATTGGGATTGCCTTGAGTTTATGAATCTGAGAAGAAATGGCAATTTTTACAATATTTAGGTCTATTAAAAAGAAGGCAACTAAGATCTTTTATGTCCCTCAGTAGAAGATTATTCTTTCAGTGGTCCTAAGTTTATGCTTTTCAATTTATAGATATATATTTGCCTTTGTCCCTTATGTCAATGGTATTATTTCTTGCATTGCAAGTGTGTATGTGTCTAAGAAAAATATAGGGATGTTTCCCAGATGATCAATCGCAATTTAAAAGAAAGTGGGGTTTTTAATAGCATCTGACTTTCATTGAACTGACACAGATGGAAAAAAAATCATTTTGGATGATACTATCATGTAAAATGGGGAAACATGAACGCTGTTTGTTTCACCTTCGTCTTGCTTATTTATACAAAGCAAGTTGTGGCTATCTTTGAAACCGAAATGTGGTGTCTGTTCAATCCGGGTACCACCAGTGGGAGTCCCATGTTCCTCCTAATACCACACAAAGTTCTAGTTAGACTCTCACTCTTTCCACATGAAAGCCCTTGTAGCCTTCCTGCTGAAATTCATTACTGGACCACTAGCTTGTCAAGGTCTCTCTCCGAGGGGTAGCATAGGCTCTCTGGTAGCATAGCCGGATGCTACAGTTGTGGTTGTGAATCCTCCACTAAAAATCACACTCATCACAGGCACAGGTATTTTTAGATGGTTTGCTGTGGTCGTGAGTCAGAAAGAGTTAGTTTTACATTTTTTTCTTTATCCCAGACTTTAAAATATTCACTTAGAAAACAAACAAACAAAACAGGGTGACTCGGTGATGGGAAACCCACGGGGATTACAATTGAGATGAAACAAAAAATGTACAAAATGATGTAAAAATACACTATTATATTATAAAAACAAAACAAAACAAAAAATTTCCTGGACACTATTTAACAAACCTTTCATACAAGGGATTAGCAAACTTTTATGATAAAAGGCCACAAAAATAGTGCTTTAGAAATGTGAGCTTGATGATCTCTATTGTAATACTTAACTGTGTTGCTGTGCAGTGAAAACAGATAAGACAATAAGTAAATGGCCTGGTTGTATTTAAATAAAACTTTATCTATTAAACAAATGAGGAACTAGATTTGATCCACAGGCTAGATTTGGTCCATCCTTCAAGCTTCTGGCCTCTATTTTAGACCAATAAACTTCAAAACCATTTATTATTTATATTAAAAAAAAAAACAATAGTAGTGCTCTCACTAAGGATGACACAATGCAATGCACTGGAATGAATAAAATGTTGAAAAATCACCAAATCACCAAAATGATCTCTTATGAATCCCTAAGTGGTTTTTCTGCACATTACTAGTATCTGTTTTATGAAGCACAAGGGAGAGTGCAGTATTTAGTTAACATATACATTACAATTGGAATGGTTTTGAGGAGGAATAGAAAGCTAAATGAAAATAAAAATCATTATGTAATGGAAAAGTTGGCTCTTACTTACCAATCCTGCACTGCATTGAAGGATTCTTCATTTGTGATGTCATACATCAAAATAAAGCCCATGGCCCCACGATAATAGGCTGTGGTGATAGTCCTGTATCTCTCTTGTCCTGCTGTGTCCTAAAGAGGAACAATAATAATTTCTCAATTACAAGACAAGCATCTTGGGATGTGATTAATGATTCTAAAAATGGTCATAAGAATTTAAATTGTATTTCCAATGTAATTCTAAATCTTAACCTGTCTTATTTTTTTCTAAGGATTGTCACAGAGCAGCTAACATTCTGAAAATTTCTTTTTGTTTGTAAAGATAGAGCTCAAAATAATGTGCACAAATACTGGGTCCCATTGAAAAGAATCTAATTATGAAAATAAAATTAAAAGATTTTATATATATATGTGTGTATATATATATATATATACACACACACACACACACACACATATACATATATATATCAAAAGTGGTGGCTTTGGTATAGTTTAAAACCAGAAAAGAACATTGACTCTATCATTACATATTTATTGTCTGTCTATTAAGTACAAGTCACTGTGGGGAAAAGGAAGTTTATGAAAATATTGCTGCTTTTAAGAGCATGCAGTTTAGTTTGTTTTATTCAACTGTAAAATGAGAATAAAACTCCCTGTTTTGTGTGGATGTTAAGATCAGAACGATCCGGAGCCCCTGACCATCTACTATGAAGCAGGGACAGAAGAGACAAAGTCTCCATCTTGTAGACTCAAGCCCTCAAGCCCACGCTAGTTAGGATTACATGGCATTATGCATTAAGGAGTAAAGTTCTTCACACAGAGCACAGTACACAAAACATGGTCAAATAATGGCAGACAAGGGTAACCAAAGAAAGCTGATAGACTTCCGAAATACGAAATGGACCTTGAAAATTAGCCAAGAGTGAGACTTATCATCAAACTAACAATTGTAGTCTACTCTTTGAGCAGGGATAAGGCTGGCTTGATTCATAGGTGTTTACTGGATATATGAGGGGAAAATACAGTTTCAAAGCTAGGATGAAAAAGTTTATGGTATCTAAAAGAGCAAAAGTAAATTGAACTGGTGGGCAAGATCTTTCAAAACAGAACACTAAATATAAAAACAGAAAGGAAAGCAGAATTTTCAACTCACAAAAGACTGACAATTCATCAAATATAGGATAAATGGTATAAAAAAATAGAAGTCACACATATTCAAGTGATAAACCAGGATGCAGATTTGTATCATACAAGACCAACCAATGGTTAATATTTTTAAAAATATTTTTTAAAGATTGATTGATTGATTGATTGATTGATTGATGCATACAGAACTGGATACAGGCCAGAGGTGCTGGGGCAGTGAGAGGCTTCACCAGAGACAGAATGGGGAGCAGAACAGGCCAACTGACAAAGGACACTGCTGAAGGGAGCAGCGGGCGGGTCAGGAGAGGTCTGCCGCGCCATATGGTCACCTCCAGGGCAGGGATCAGGCTCGTGCTAAAGTGGCTTCAGCTTCTCAGTGCTGTGCTTTAGCCCACTGCACCACCAGGGAGGGCCCAATATTTTTAATATTTTAATTGTGTTAAATATCATTAGAAAAATGTTAACATTCTCATTTAAAATTATTTTAAGGCACATAATTTATTTTTTTAAACAGAGTTGAACCTCAAGTTTAACAATGTATATGCAGTTCCTTATATAACAGATGTTACCTGACCATTATTTAAATATTTTATTCTACTTTGCTTCATATTTTATACTAAATGAACGTGTGGATGGTAAAAAATAAACACAGATGTCACAAACTGAATATAATTGGGACAAATACACAAATTTGTTAGGCCCAAAGGGGAAATTTCGAGCTACTGAATTTAATTCAATTAACAGTATATCCAATTGTGAAATAATAAAGAAAGCTAAAGGATCAAATTCCCAAAGACTGTGTTTAAAAAGCAAGGTGGAAAAAAAAAAAAAGAAAGAAAGAAAGAAAGAAAAAGAAAAGCAAGGTGTAGCCAGAGATTAGAATGTTCACTCATTTGAAAACTTTTCCATTTTGACTTGGGTTCATGCTTTCTAGAGCACATTACCTATAATTTTTTTTTTTCTTATTGTGAGATAACTTTAAATGACTTTCTTTTGGCATTTGGTTGCATAACTTTTCTGCTGCCTATACTGTTCAATAGATAGTTTTCCTCAAATTTCTCAGTAGGAGAACACAGCAACAAGCCTGAGGCATTGATAGAAGGTGACCTCGACCCTTTCGGTCAAGCACGGGTTGAGTAATGTTCAGACCCTGAATAATGTTGTGTTGGAAAATTGTGTTATCTTTTTTTTTCTTGACCTCACCAGTGATGGCTTCCCTTCCCATAAGATGTTATTATTACCTCGACAGTGAAGAACCTACTTCAGTTATAAAGCACATCAGTTTCATACTGTGTATGTATTTAATCTTTGAGAGCCAAAACGAGAAGTTACAGGAAAACACAGGTCTAGATAGCTATTAGGTAGGAGAATTTAAAATTGAGAGCTAGGGACAAAAAAAAGCTTTCAAGAAGCAAATGAAGCTTCTAAGTCACAGCTAGAGACCTTCCATTCTGACCTGAACACAGGAACACAATCAAATTGGAGGTAGTTGTCACCTAAAAGCTCTCAGGGAGAATAAGAAATGGTACCAAACAAGAAATGTATTGTGAAAAATATGAAGAGAAAATTTCCAAATGCAAAGAAAAGATGAAAACTAAGCTAATAATAGACACCAAAATATTTTATGTACTGAAAATAATTCCAGGATTACAAACTTATTAGCATTTTCTCTCCCATGATATAGGGAGAAAAAGAAATCAGAAAAACACTGCATGGCATTTGACATTTACTAATGATGACAGAAGGTTATATTTGAAAGAAAAGAACATTTTATAATGTCAAGTGCCACTAATATAATTAAAGGCGAACAGTCTCAGAAGGTGACTAAAATGGTACTTCTTTCTTTTTTAAATATTCTATTTATTTATGCATACAGAGATGGGGTACAAGCCAGAGGTGCAGGGGCAGTGAGAGGATTCACCAGAGACAGAGTGGGGAACAGAATAGGCAGATCAACAAGGTACACTGCTGAGGGGAGCAGCAGGTGAGACAGGAGAGTCTGCTGCACCATGTGGGTTACCTCCGGGGCTGGGATCAAACACCCTCTGAGGCAGCCACTGCTTGGCTTAGCTTTGCAGTGCAGTGCTTCAACCAGCTGCACCACCAGGGAAGGCCCCCTTTCATCTTTTTAAAAAAGATTTATTTATTTATGCATACAGATTTATTTGTTTGTTTATCTGTTTGTTTATTTATTATGCATACAGGCCAGGGGTGCAGGGGTGGTGAGAGGATTCACTAGGGATAAAGTGGAGGGGAGAACAGGCAGATGGACGAAGTACACTGCTGAGGGGAGCTGCAGGTGGGTCAGGAGAGGCTGCTGCACCATATGGATCACCTCCCTGACTAGGGATCAAACTCCTGCTACAGTGGCTGCGGCTAGCTTCATAGTGTTGCAGTTTAACCTGTTGTGCCACGAGGGAGGGTCCTAAAGTGGAACTGTTTTTCAATTTGCTATGAAAATGGCTGCAAACCCTGACTTTGCATTGTTATTCTGGGATATCTGCTGATTTTCTATGAAGGTAAGCTTCTGAGGATTGAAAAACACAACAGCAAACAGCAGGAAAACACAGGTCTCTTACTGAGAAAATGTGCAATAAAAATATTAATTAAAAAAAATTTGTTCCATGATAGTTAACTTTTGTTTTTCTCTCCTTTAAAGAAACTAAAATCATTTCCACTGTTTTAAATATTTTTCTTTATTTATTTATAAATGAATAAATCATGTTTGTAGTAGAAATTTTTGGCTTGAAAGATAGGTTTAAATAACAAATACCTGCATATCTGTATAAAGGAGAACCATAAAATGAGGAACATTTCAGCTTGATAAGCAGCAACTAGGAATTTTTTTCAGTATTTTGGCATTTTTTTTGTCTTTTCCTTAACATTTATTTTCTTTAATGAAATATCATTTTTTAAAATGTGTGCATTGCTTTCTCAAATCCTTCTGAAGTCATGCAGAGATAATAAGCAGTTTTAAGATTGAGGAAATAGCTTTCACTTGTAAGGTCTAGTTTATATTATTTTTTGTTTGTTTGTTTTGGTGATTACTTTTTTCCTATCGGATTAAAGGGGGAATGGAAGTAACCAATAATAATTAAAAAATAACTCAAATAAATTCACCCTAATCAGAGAAAAGTAGATTGAAGGGGAGATAATAGTGGTACATTATAAAGTAGGTAATTTTGCAGGTGGAGAAACCAAACTAATACATTGGTACTAATTGCTCAACAAAGGTAATAAAAGTTAGCTAAAGGAAATACCATATAGTAATCCAAAGAGAAAAATCAACAGAAAAGGGAGATGAGATAATTGTGACTTAAAACATACTTTAATGAATTTCCAAATAGGGACAAGGAGGTAGAATAAAATAAATGCCCAGTCAAGTAGCATTTTAAGGAAGTATTGACCTTATAACTTGTACACTACTACCTTTTATCTGTAGAAATTATTTTGAATCATCAAAAGAAGATTAAACTATGTCCAATATATGGGCCCTCCCTGATGGTGCTACATGTTAAAGCGCAGCACTATGAAGCTCTCCACAGCCACTGCAGCACGACTTTGATCCCAGACCAGGGAGCTGACCCACATGGCATGGCAGACCTCTCCTGACCCACCCGCTGCCCCCTTCAGCAGTGTATTTCATTACATGTGCCTGTTCTGCTTCCCACTCTGTCTTTGGTGAATCCTGTCACCCCTGCACCTCTGGCCTGTACCCCAGTTCTGTATGTATAAACAAATGTTTATAAAAACAAATTATGTCCACGATAATATAACATTACACTGACTGATCAATTTATTGATTGACTCTACTTATTCATTCAGTAAACATTCAGAAACTGAGAGAGATATACAACATATATATATACAAACACTTACATGCAATTTATAGATATTAAATTACCGTCTCTCTTCTAGACATGTTTATGTATGCATTATTAAAAGTTCTTCAGGGCCCTCCCTGGTGGCACTGTGGGTTGAG